AAATGTTCTCTACCTACAATCTTTTCAAGTTTCTATGTGATATAAATCGATGATGAAGTCTACTGTTGAATTATATAGGTTTCAAAAGTTTCATTATAAATCTTTAAATTACTAATGTAAATGTAGACAGTTGACCATAAAGCCATCGTTAGACACGATAAAGGGCAATGAAAGTTGAAAACAGTATTTATCATGAATAAAATATCTTCAAAGATTAGTCAGCAACTCCAAGTAAGACACATCTGTAGTTGACAACATGTGTCAAAAATATCCGCATTCTTTTAATATTGATTTTCATCAATTCAATCCATTCTTTTTTCTATCACCTCAATAGTACGGAATAGATAACGCGTTCGTCTACTCGACACCGAAGAAAAAAAAAACCGAGGTTTATCATATCGTTTTATTCTTTTTGTCCAACACATAATTGCTAGACTAATCAAACTGCCGTACAATAGAAGCAGGATACTCGATGGATCAGACCATATCATTTGCATATTAGAGGACCTAGTACTTAAGTAATTTTTATCAGTGTCTTTTTTGGAATTACTATGAGGGAGTAAAGGGTTAAACTAGTCTTACTCATGCACATTAAGTTCAATAAAATGATTATGACTGAAGAAGAAAGATCTAGTAATTTTTATCTATATTATGAATTCAAAATTTTTTTTTTTTTTTGAATGATAAAAATCATCAACATACTTCAATTCATTAAGTTTAATTTGTTCATCATACAATGGAATAATTTGTGCACTTGATGTTACAGATTCTAAATAATAATTTTTTTGATCATGAACTAAATTATTAAATGGTGTTTGACGTTGAATACATGATAATGTATTTTGTTTTATCTTATCTAATATCATATCCCTTAGATAAACAATAATAATTTTATTTTTTTAAGAAAAATAAACAAAAAAAAAAAAAAAAGAAATGTACTCTTCGCATTCTACAATAATGACACAACCATTTGGAAGTAAAATATCAAGTAGAATTTTTTTCACCATTGACATCTAAAAGTATATATTAAATGAAACTAAAGAAGAATCAAAACGATTTCATTTGCTTGTTGTTTTTTTTTTAAATTAAATAAAAATGTCATAGAGATTCTTTGTTTTATTTTTTATTTTTTGTTTTTCTATTTATTTTGGTAAAATTGTTGTTGAATTATTATCATTATTTTTATTTGCATTATGATTTTGTTTCATTTCTGTTGCTCGAACATGTGCAAATAGACCTGAACCACCAAGTACAAATAAATTTGATATCCACCAAAGTGTTGTTTTAGTCTTACAAAAAAAAATTAAATCAATACAATTTTTTTTTTTGTTTTTCGTTCTCAAATAATTTAATTCTTACTTCAGTATAAACAACAACAGCAAGTAATGTTTGTACATAAGATTTAGCTGTACCTGATACATTATGTGTTAATGGACTTGTCATTTGTATTTGATAACCAGTAACATAACCCATTGAAAAACCAAGTAAACCAGCCATTGTCATTGCAAACCAAAATGGTAAATTAAATATTTTAGAATAATTAATAACAATTGAAAATTCACTAAATATAATCATTAATGGTAAAAATAAAAAACATGCATTAAAATTATTATATAAACATAAACGCCAAACATTATTATCAACACATGGTAAACATCTTGATGTATAAATAGCATTTAAAGCAACAAATACACTTGATGCTACACCACAAAATGCACCAAACATTGATAAAGTACCTAATATTAAATTTAAAGTTTTATATTAGTTGTAAATAAGAAATAATTTATGCATTTCAATATATATATCTGAATATGAATGAAAATTAACATGAGTGTTTTTCATTTAGAGAAGTATTCTTAATATCATAGAGAATGAAAGAGATATGCATTCTTACAAGTAATTATTTATCAGGACACTTTTTACATGATCAAAAGGAAGTGTTGAGTAGAAACTGAGATTTCCTTTCTTAACAGACTATCACATATCAACAACTTTCTTACTCTGTATATCTGAATGGCTAAATAATACGATGGTAAAGAAATATGTCCTTGAATAGATTGAGATAAAAGAATTTTCCTATAGTAACTACATCATATTACAAATTTTAATCTTACAAGAATTACTCTAAGAGTTTATTTTTGTTAACAAGACATATTTATCTTCCTGTTCTTTTTACATATACGTATATAAAGATTTCAGCTAGCTAATAAACGATACAATAAAATTGATAAAAAAACAACAATTTTGCTTTTTTTTAAATACTAAATTTTATCTTCAGATATTATTTCTTACCAAGTGCATTTTCTTGATCAATACCAAGAAAGAATCCTCCAATAATAAGTCCACAACATGCTAAAGCTTTATATGATGTTTTTTGTCCAAGCATGATATATGTAAAAATCTAATGAATTATAATGAATTTTAATCTAAATTTCGTTAATAATAACATACCACATTAGCTATAGTAGTTAATGATCGACCAACCATATAAAATGATACAGTTAAATATTTAAGAGTTAAATTATTAAATATAATCATAGCAACAAACATAACTGATAATGGAAGAACCTTTTTTATCAAAAATATTGTTTGTTTTTAAATAAAAATCAATAATTTTTTATGTTTAAACTTACATCACGTGCAATTTTAAGATCAATTTTAAATGTTGGAAATTTTGAAAGTATTGCTAAACGTTTATTTAAACTTCCTAATAAAGCACAAGCTACCACTGTTACTACACATTGATACCATGTTATAAAAAGCGGTGCATCAAGCTATAATCATATTATTGTAAAAACTATTAAAAAAAAAAGTTCAAATGAAAACTAAACTTACTTTAACATTATTTGAACTAAGTAAATATTTATTTAAAAAGACCATCGTTATTGAAACAAACCTAAATATATAAGAAAAATAAATAAATAAATATTTCGTTTTTTTTTTTGTACCAATAAAGTATAACAGCAAATGTTATTTGCATAAATCTTTTTTTTAATGCATTATTCGAATTATTCATTGTTACAGATTCTTTAACAGATGGATCAATATCAAGTTTATCTGTTGAATTATTTAATAATCTATAAGAGTTATTGCTCATCGTATTTATACAAAAATCTAAAAATAAAACAATATTTTACATTAATAGAATAAATTTTTAAATCTATTCATTCATATAATATACTCAATTTTATACATAGCACTTACATATGTCATAAAATTTTTGCATTTTTTTATTCTTTCCTTTTTTCAGAGCATAATAAAAATCTACTTTTTTTTTTACTATAAGCATCTTACAGAAAAGAGAACAACAAAAGCGTTCATAACAATGCCAATTGAAATAGAATACCTGTAAAAACCTTAGACATTAGTAAAGCTTCAAAAAAAAAGATAGAATACGAAATAAACATCATACAAACATCCACGGTTACCTTTGTATGTAAAATATCTTGTATAATTAAAATAATCATGGGCATTTGTATGACGAAGTTTCATGGCTGTGAAGAGTTACGTTATTTGACATATATTCATAAGGTACAGATTTTTATGGAATTATTCCGAACAACTTGGCTTCATATAACGCATCTTGACATAAATCGTCTCTTTTCATTAGTTAATGTGTATAGGAAGCTCAAGAACTCTGCGTCAGATCTAGCAGGCTATGAAATGCACTACAAATCAGAGGGATATTATTCTCTATGATATTCGTTTTAGAATTCTATCTTTTTTTTTTTTTATTGCAGAATTTTTTTGCTACAGGGAAATTTTCTGAAAAAAAAAGAATTCGATAGCTTAGTCAAATCGAAAAATCTTCTAGAGAATTTTTATGATTAAGTATTAAAAAAGATTCAATTAGAATGAAGATTAAAAAAATCTGAAAAATAAAATCGAATTCATATCATTCTAGAATAGAGTAAGTTAATATGTATTTGTTGTTTTTTTTGCAAGTAGAAAAAAAAAGAAGACAAATTTAATAAATGTTCATGATTGAAAAGTCACTTGATTGAATAAACGTTCTTTGATTAATTGTGACATTAATGAATTAACTGCTTCTACAGCTGTTTTTGTACTAAATAAAACAAAATTTATTCTTTAATAGATTTTCGTTTTTTTTAATATTTACCAATCTTTTGCTGCTTTTGCTAATTTATCATCTTGTTTTCGATCTTGTTCAGGTAATGGTAAAAAACTTGTTCGTCCTAAATGACTTTCAGCTTGTTCAAGTTTATCAGCTACATCATTTATTTGTCCCGTTATATAATCAGCATTAGTTAATAATGTTGATGTACTAATATACAAAGAAAAAAAAATATATATATATCAAACTAAAAATTCATAATAAACAAACCTTAATGTGCTAACCCAATAACGATTCCATAAATGTTCAAGAAGACGTTTATCAAGTGATGATTTAAAAAATGATACTTCAAGTGGATAATATTGTTTACAATGAACACCAAAATCTTCAATTTTATTTAATGGTATTGGTTGATATTCAATAGTTTCACTTTCAGCTTTATGACCTTTTGGATATGTACGAAATGCACCAATATTAACTTTACCAGCAGATATTGTTCGTGTTGGATCAACCTAAATTATTATTTTTAGTTAAACTAAAACAAAATATAAATTCTTCTTACCACAATAGCAACAAATGGATCTTGATATTGTTGATTTTGCATTTGTGTATCAACATCAATACCTGATAACCAACAACCATAACCAGGATGTGAATGATACCATCCAATAACATTTTCTGGACGATTTACTTCTTTAGCCCATAATGTATATGAACTCATATATTCATATGCTTCTTGTTGAGCATTTACACGAGTTTCTAGAACGTTGCAAAAAGAAAAAATCTTAACTACAGATGAATTAAGAATTAATTTCTAGTGAATATACATCATTATGAAATTAGTCAATTCATCTATAGTCTTTATATGATCATAGTCTTACTGCATGACAAGTATATTGTATCGCATATAAAAAAAACAAAAGCTATCAGCACAAACCTTACAGGATTAAAATATGAAATATGATATAGCTTTTGCTAATAATTATTAAACGATTATTTTTTTTTCTGTCCATTCTGAAACTGATTTCTTTTACGTATTCCTGCAGAAATTCATTAAGGGTGCCCCCCCCCCCCCCTTTCCGGGGTTTTTGAGAACGGCTCATCAGAAAAATTTGAAATTTTCAGGACAGATAGATCTTGATGAGTACAGCAAAAGTTGTCATAGACTCAAAATTCTCTGATGCTGTCTTCTATGAGATAATAGGGTTACAATGTCGAAAAATGGCCCTAGTTTTCGCCTCCGTTTCTCCAAGACGGTATGTTCGATTGAGCTGAAAATTTTTTTACCGGTAGTAGACACTGCTTGGAGTGCATATTTTTTTTTTAGTTTCTTTGTATCTTTTGTTGTTTCAATAAAAAAGTCAAAATACTGAGCCTACTTGTTTTTATTACTCTAGCAAATTTTGTAAAAGCTGGCAAAAATCACCAGAGCAATAATTCTTGAAAAGAAAAAAAAATACTCATCCCAAATGATGAGTAGAATATGTAAAAAAAAAGTTTCAGCTCGATCTCTCTTATCATGCCGGAGAAACAGTACTTTTCCTACTAAAACTTTGATTTTGAGAAAAAAAAACAAAAAAATATAAAATTTTAGCTATTTTCACTATGTAAATTTAATTTCTCCTCCAATTTTTTAATCTTTAAAGGCAATTATTGGTTTCCAAAATATAGTCAATAGATAGACACTACTTGAAACTATACAATGGCCAAAAATTTTGGGCGACGAAAGAGGGGGGGGGGGTACCCTTAAGGAACTAATTCATATATTGTAACAACACATTATTGACATATATATTTTATGACAGTATCAGAGATATCCATGCAACTAGCTTCTTTTCTATGGAGATTGCAAAATTATATGACTTTGCATTCGACTTGAGTGCCTACAAGTCCAAAAATCTACATCATGATAAATTTATAGTAATTTACCATAGTGTC